GTTAGTTGCTGGCCATTCCCTTGCAGTTGATGAGTCCAGCATGACTGGGGAGAGCAAAATTGTATGTTTTTAACTCCTGCCTGATTTGCAAACATACCATCTTTGCATTTCATGTGTCTGAGCAAGCTGTTTCTCGCAGGTTCAAAAAAACTCTTCTAAGACTCCATTCCTTATGTCCGGCTGCAAAGTTGCAGATGGCCAGGGCACTATGTTGGTAAGACTTGATAAACACTAAATTTTACTTTCTTCCTTAATAGCTTATTTGAGTGTAAATTTTGTCTTTGAAACTCAGGTTACTGGGGTAGGTGTGAACACTGAATGGGGCTTACTAATGGCTAGCGTCTCAGAAGACAATGGTGGAGAAACACCATTGCAGGTGAGTACCTTTATCTGTTCATATTTGTTTTTGGTTTTTGTTGCTCAATATTCTTATTTCCTTCAGGTACGCTTGAATGGTGTTGCTACATTTATCGGGATTGTGGGGCTTACAGTTGCTGGCGTTGTACTATTTGTCCTTGTCGTCCGGTGAGTTCAAATTTTCTTTCTGACATCTAAGTACCGCACGGAGTAATAAACGCTAGTGGTCATTGAATGAATCTTTGTTCTCTGTAGCTATTTTACTGGTCACACGAAGAATGCAGATGGAGGACCACAGTTTGTTGGAGGGAAGACGAAATTTGAGCGCGTGCTAGATGATCTTGTTAAAATCATCACTGTTGCAGTAAGTGTTCCTTCGAAGAAACCAGCATGGCTAATACCATTGTCTAGCTTCTTATTCAGCTCAACCTGTCGAATATTGTAGGTGACAATTGTTGTAGTGGCAGTGCCTGAAGGGCTTCCTTTGGCTGTTACCTTGACGTAAGTCTACCATCTTCTGTATAAATATTTGATGACAGCCCTAGAGTTGGAGAAAGGAACAATTTTGTCTTTCGTCACTGATCTTTTCTACTTCTTATTGCCAGTCTTGCGTATTCCATGAGGAAAATGATGGCAGATAAAGCTTTGGTATGTATATTTTACATTTTAGGACCCAATTAGTCTGCCTGAAAATAATTCAAGACCTTATAGGAAGTTTATTACAGGTGCGCAGGCTTTCTGCCTGTGAGACCATGGGTTCTGCAACAACGATTTGCAGTGATAAGACTGGAACTTTGACCTTAAACGAGGTGAATCTTAGTGCTTTCAAGTTACAGTTTTGGTACACGCTTTACTAGCTGCAAGCTTTTGCTAGGTTAAATTGCGTGCCCAACAAGCGAGTCCCCTAATACTTTCTCTCTTTCTCAGATGACCGTTGTCGAGTGTTATGCTGGTTTCCAAAAGATGGATCCTCCGGACAGTAGCTCAAAACTGCCACCTGGTTTTACATCCATACTTGTTGAGGGGATTGCTCATAATACAACTGGCAGTGTGTTCCGATCTGAAGTAAGATAAATTCCTTTGGAACTTTACTGGTTTTCTATTTGGTTTCTACTTCAGTTTGATTCAATGTAATAATATATGTTCTTGCTGATGACAGAGTGGTGAGATTCAGGTTTCTGGATCGCCGACAGAAAAAGCAATCCTAAATTGGGCGATAAAGGTTTATATTCCAGCTACATTTCTCTGTTCCAGTTTATAGAGTTGTGAGGAGAACTAAAATCCGTTTATATCTTTTACCCTCTGCAGTTAGGCATGAATTTCGATGCCCTTAGGTCTGCGGCCTCTGCTATACAGTTTTTTCCATTCAACTCAGAGCAGAAACGTGGAGGCGTAGCAGTGAAATCAGTATTGTGTTTCATTTTTCTCATCATTCTCGTTTGTGGTTGTTTTCCATTTGTCAATCACCATCCTAATGAACTTTCTAACTCAAATTTCAGCAAGATTCGAGTGTCCATGTTCACTGGAAAGGCGCTGCCGAAATTGTTTTGGGTTCCTGCACACACTATATGGATGAGAATGCGAGTCTTGCAGATATGAGTGGAGATAAGGTTAACAACCGTGTTTTCTCTTTATCATAATATAATTTGTCGAAAAGATTTTAATCTACTATTGTGTGTCTTGTTTCAAGACTGTTCTCTTGCTTTTGATGTGTTTTGTTTTTGTTACGATACTAAAATTTTGTATCCCAAATTAGTGCCAGATTTGGTAATGAGAGTTTTAAAATAAACTAGTGCCAGACTGTTGTTCTTTTCTGAATCAAGTTTTGTTGTTGTTTCAGATGACCGAGTTAAAAAATGCTATCGATGATATGGCTGCAAGGAGTCTGCGCTGTGTTGCAATTGCCTACAGAACATTCGAAGCGGACAAGATTCCAACTGATGAAGAGCAACTCTCTACCTGGGTGTTACCTGATGATGATCTCGTGTTGTTGGCTATCGTTGGTATCAAGGTACCTGATGAAGAGTCTTGTGATGCATCTTGATGTGGTTCTGTAAACCATATGGCAATTCATGGCAAGTTATTTTATCTGCAATACATTGTAGGATCCTTGTCGTCCAGGTGTCAAAAACGCAGTTCTACTATGTCAGCATGCTGGAGTCAAGGTCTGTATCTCATCTGGTTCCTTTATTTTGTTGTCTGTTCTGTTCTTCATGGGCGTGTATAGTCTTCTAATTTCAACTATTGGCACTCAGGTTCGAATGGTGACTGGTGATAACATTCAAACTGCCAAAGCAATTGCACTGGAGTGCGGTATATTAGCTTCAGACTCGGACGCTAGTGAGCCTAATCTGATTGAAGGAAAAGTATTCCGATCCTATTCAGAAGAAGAAAGAGATAGGATCTCTGAAGAGATATCTGTAAGAGCCTTATGATTGAACGTTGTGGTTGGAGGCAGTTATTTAAATGGTACCTGACATTGTTTGCTAAACTTGGAAGGTAATGGGTAGATCATCACCCAATGACAAACTTCTTCTTGTGCAATCGCTCAAGAGGAGGGGACACGTCGTGGCTGTGACTGGTGATGGAACCAATGATGCTCCTGCACTGCACGAGGTTCGAATACATTTTACGTAGACTTTGTATGCGTAAACCCTTAAAGAACAATGTTGTTATTGAGGATCAAACTTTCTGTTTTGTCTTGTGAATTTCAGGCAGATATAGGTCTCGCTATGGGTATCCAAGGCACCGAAGTTGCAAAGGAAAAATCAGACATCATTATCTTGGATGACAACTTTGAATCCGTTGTGAAGGTTGGTATTCAAATTTCTTATATAATAAGCTTCCTGTTCATTCACTTATGTTGCATGTTACTCAACTTTATGTTCAGAAATGTCTCTTTTGGGGTGTTTATGATATCTTGATGAAATATCCATTTTTGAAATGATGTGATTCCTATAGGTTGTGCGTTGGGGTCGATCTGTGTATGCAAATATTCAAAAGTTCATCCAGTTCCAGCTCACGGTTAATGTCGCAGCTCTTGTCATCAATGTCGTGGCTGCCATATCCGCTGGTGATGTTCCTCTAACTGCAGTACAGGTTCGATATAGTAAATTTATTATCTCTTTCTCATCTGCACAAGAGTATTCACTTCTCTCCTATCTTTGTAGCTCCTCTGGGTCAATCTTATAATGGATACTCTTGGTGCTCTTGCTTTAGCCACCGAACCACCAACCGATCACTTAATGGATCGAACTCCTGTTGGCAGAAGGTCCGCACTTTATTAGACTTGAGCATGTGGGGATCTCAATTTCTCTTCCATTTACGTAACTAACGATTGTACATATCTCGTATTTGCAGAGAACCTCTCATCACAAATATCATGTGGAGAAACTTGTTTATACAAGTAAATTTTATCTTCTTCTTTCTCTTTCCCTCACATCTATAAAGATTACACAATCTTTAAGCTTTCTCTGCTGCTCCATTTTTTTTTTTTTTTTTTTTTTTGCATATTATTAGGCGATGTATCAAGTGACCGTCTTGCTAATCCTCAATTTCCGTGGAGTAAGTATTCTTCATCTGGAGAGTAAACCCAATTCCGAGAGAGTAAAGAATACAGTAATCTTCAATGCCTTTGTCATCTGCCAGGTAAAAAGATACTGCCCCCTCTGTTGTTGAGATTTAAGAAAAAGCTTGGTCACATCACAAAACAAACTGCTAATTTTTTTTTATAGATCTTCAACGAGTTCAACGCAAGGAAGCCAGATGAAATAAACATTTTCCGAGGCGTTCTCAGGAACCACCTCTTTGTGGGCATCATCTGTATCACCGTTGTGCTCCAGGTACTGATTCTCTCTCTGTCTCTTGTTACTTCAAAGATACTTCGGTCACTTCTTTTCTTGTACATCTGAGACAGAGACATAACGTTTATATATAATGTTTAATATAGGTAGTCATCGTCGAGTTCCTTGGAACATTTGCCTCAACGACTAAGCTTGATTGGGAGATGTGGCTTGTCTCCATTGGAATCGGTTCCATCAGGTTTGTATGTTAACTTTGTTTATCTTATGAGTGGGTAATGAAGTTTACAGTTTGGTTTATTAATCTGTTTTGTGTTTTATATAACCAGTTGGCCATTGGCTGTGATCGGAAAATTCATACCGGTTCCAGAGACTCCGGTCAGCCAATACTTTAGAATGAGCAGGTGGAGAAGGAACTCATCAGGTAACTAAAGTTTACCCTTTTCTCTATGAATCAAACGCATCTAAAATGCTAAGATTGTTACTCACGCTTTTAAACTCTCTGTTGATTTTTCAGGTTAATACAAATTAGTTTGAAAAGAGAAAACAGTTAAATACCAGAAGTGGTTTTTTTAGTATCCAATCTGTGAATACTACGATTCTCTCGGAAGTACTTAATCAAATGGCTTCTACTTCGTTTTAATATCGCTAATACATTAAACAAATGGAAAATATAATATTTTTGTTGAGTTGCTGTTACCTTTAATGTTCAAAGTCCAGAGTATCCAAATTCCAAAGTGACAAAAATGTGTCCCAAGTGAAAAAAAAAAAAGATCTCTAAAGATAGATTCACATGAATAAATGCATTTATACACAAATAAAACCAATAAGGTGTCTACAGTTTCACAGTTTGAGATTCTGATGTAGCAAAGAATGGAAGTGGTGCATTGGTTTCTCCACAAGAGCATATCTTCCTTTGTCATAAGCCGGCGATTCGAGACCCCTTTGAACACTCTCACACAACACAACATCTTCCAACTGATTCACCAAATTCACACACATCCATAAACTCAAAAGTCTTCAAAAATGCATTATCTATCGGTATAATGAGATCATTTACGTATTCTCGTACCTGAACTCTCTCGCTTTCTTCCAAACTTCTCTTAATGAAAGCTTCATCATCCTAAAAGCCAAAAGAATATTTCAAAAATCTCCTATCAAGAACCATGGCTATATAGGATTATATGTTGTTGGTTTGTGTTACCTTTAAAGATGGATCAAGAAAATAGTCGAAGACAACTTTGCATTTCCTTGGTCCTAACGGTATCACTAGATTCGTGTCCATCCAAGGTCCGTACCTTTTAAAGATAAATCCATACGTCATGAGAAGATGAATCAAAACTAGTTTAACAAACTGAGCAAATGGAGTTAACGTCTGTTTTTACCTATTTATCATGAAGTTTGGGTAGACGAAAGCGTATAGAGCTTTAGATCCAAGCCTATCAAAACCGTCCTTTTCACCAGCCTTGGAACCACCTCCACATTCTTGGATACTAACCCTATCAAATATCTGATATCTTAAAACAAAAAAAGTTCATCACAAGATTTGCAACTAACTTGAAAGTAAAAATTGAGCAAAAGGAATAATACCGTTGTAGAATAGGTTTCCAGATCGAGTCCTGACATCAAACCTTTATGTGCATAAGGTACATGATAGCCACCATCTAAGTAGTTATCACAAAACACCTACAAAAGTTCCAAGTGTACCACCATCAATCTCCAAAAGTTCTGTTATTCTTTTTTTAAACAAGAACAAGACTTCACCTTCCAATTACAATAAATGATGTATTCACGTCTGCATATGAAACTAAGCGATGAATCAACTCCACCTTGGCTCAACCTCTCCACAGAAGCACCAAGCCATTCCGATGCCACTGAACCATCAGTCTCAGCTTTTGCTACCTTGAGGAGAACGAAAGGTCCCCATAAAGCCACTTTCAGAGATTTGAGTCCCATTTCCTATTTCCTCAAACAGTCAAGTTCAAGAATGCAATTTCTCTACTCTTTTTAAAAAACGAAAGTGAAACAGTATGACATACATTTGAAGCAAAGTTCTCAATCTCAGCCATTCTAGTAGCTTTGAGAAGCGATCCACTCAAGCTATAAGTCCATCCCTGACCACAAAGAATTTGATAAACATCACTCAAAAGTCAAAACCACTTGAATTAACGGTTTTAAAGTGTGTTGTGAGAGATGATTACATGATAAGGGCAAACAAAGCAAGACTTGTTCCCATTTCCAGAAGCCAAGATAGAGGCATGGTGAGAGCACACATTGTGGAAAGCTTGAATCTTTCCATTCTCATCTCTACACACCACAAATTCTACTTCCCCAAGCCTGCATGAACCAATGTTTTGATCTCTCTCTTCCAAATTCTCATGTTTGAAATTAAGATTAGACGATGCAACGAATAAATCTCAAAGTAAGTGGTCACTTAGTTACCTCCCAGTGAAATAATCACGATTATCTTTAATCTGCTCAGAGTATCCTGACAATTATACAACAAGAAATGGAAAAGTAAGAAACAGTCAACACTTTCTCCACAAAAAAAAAAAAAAAAAAAAAAAAGTCAACGCTCAGAACTCATTGAAACAACGTTTTTGGTGCAGTGAAGTGTGTGGATTTTCCGAACCTACGGCTTGCCATCCTCCGTAGAAGACATGATCGAGCTCGAATCGGTAGAATTGGGGATCACTGTACCACGAGCTCGGCGGAGTAGATGCTCTCTCCAACGGAATCTCCGGATCAAACTCCGCCACGAGCTTGCTGATTTCGGAGACGGCGAAGACTCTGCTCGGATACACAAGTCTTCTCCGGCCGAATTGAGAGACTGAATCGCCAAATTCACTATGAGTAGTGAAGTATCTACTGGTGGAATTCAGCTTCGGTGTCAGAAACTCAGGCATCGTCGCCGTAATCGTGTCCATCATCATCATCATCATCATCATCACTGGCTCTGCTCTGTTTCTTTCCGATTAAATCGGACTCTGTTTATAAACTCTGTTAAAGACGATTGAAATTTCAGTATTTAGAACTCGACCGGTTTCTACCGCGTTTTGAAATATCATCAAAATTTTGAGATATTCTAGTTGAAGTATATGAATAAGTTTTGTTTTTCTTAACATTATTGTAAACCTAACAGGAAAATTATCGATTTATTAGTTTACAGTTTCACTTGATGATCCAATATGATGATGATAAACCCGTTCAACCTCTTATTAGCATTTTCTTATGAGTTGAATTTGAAATGTGGAAAGAAATTAGTGGATAAAAATCTTATTAGCATTTGCTTTCAAGTTTCAACAAAAAAAAAAAAACTTGGCGCCGCATAACTCTCTCAGCCTTAATTAGCTAATCACCTTCCTTTCATTGCCTTTTGTTTCCTTAAACTTCCGAGAACTATTCCGTTCCATTAAAAATTCCACCAAAGTTTCTCGTCCCTACATCCCTTAGTCTCTCTTTGTATTGTGTTGCCATTATAAGCACAAGAATCACTCTCATTTCCGCATCAAAACCACCATCATCATCTTCTTCTTCCTCCGGAACAAACTCATACATACACATACATAAACGATGATATGCGAAGAGGCATATCAGTATCAACAGCCACATTGACAAAACGATCACATGATGACTATGATGATGGTGGACTTGAGCCAATCACCACTATCATCATCACCAAAGTCACCATCAAACATCATTAACGACGATGAGGAAGAGAGATTAGAGGTTGTGAATTTGAGTGGTTTGGCATTACAATCTCTCCCGAATCCTTCCCTCAATTTGACAAATATTTGCAAGCTTGATCTCTCCAACAATCATATCAAGGTTGGTTTTTAACTATTCATACACTCATTACACACATACATAAATATTGGTTTCTAACGTTTTTGTTTGTGAATGATAACAGAAAATACCAGAATCTCTAACAGCGAGATTACTGAACTTGATAGCGTTAGATATTCACTCAAACCAGATCAAAGCTCTTCCAAACTCCATTGGCTGTCTCTCCAAGCTCAAGATCCTTAACGTCTCTGGCAACTTTCTCGTTTCCCTCCCCAAAACTATTCAAAATTGCAGGTTCACCCCTCACCACAAACTCTCAATCCTGAACCAAACCATTCACAATCTGATGATTTGAGTCCTCTGTTTTTCCACAGGTCACTTGAAGAACTAAACGCCAACTTCAACGAGCTGGTCAGATTACCAGACTCAATAGGATTAGAACTAACCAATCTGAGGAAGCTCTGTGTCAACTCAAACAAGCTCATTACCCTACCAACCTCCATCACCTACCTCACTTCCCTCCGTGTCCGCGATGCTCGTCTCAACTGCCTTATGGTCCTCCCTGAAGACCTAGAGAATCTCATCAACCTCGAGATACTCAACGTCAGTCAGAACTTCCAGCATCTCACCGCCCTCCCATCTTCCATCGGCCTTCTCATGAACCTCCTCGAGCTGGACATAAGCTACAACAAGATCACAGTCTTGCCTGAGTCCATTGGATGCATGAGACGGCTGAGGAAGCTGAGCGCTGAAGGAAACCCGCTCGTGTCCCCACCGGTTGAGGTTGTAGAGCAGAGCTTGCAGGCGGTGAGAGAGTATCTGAGCCAGAAGATGAACGGTAGACTGGTGAACACCGCAGCAAAGAAGACGTCATGGGGATTCCGTAAACTGGTTAAGTATGGAACGTTCAATGGAAGAGCAAGAGCTTGGAGCAGGGAAGAGAGAGAAGGACTCATCATGCCTGAGTACCGTCCCATTGATATCTTAGCTTCGACTAGGTTTCCTGCTATGTGCTCACCTCGCCGTATCTTTTCTCCAAGAACCTACTTCAGCAGATGATAGCAATGCAGACAGTAGCCACAATTCAATCTATCAAACCATTTCCTTAACTCATCACTAAATGTATAAAGAGTATGTATATGTACAGCATTCAGATTTCAAACTTTCTCATTGTAAATATTTTGAACAGTCTCTTCTTTCATATCTTTAGAAACAAAGTCTTAATCTTGGGTTATCTAGAACTCAACAACCAAATACTTGCTTATCAATCGTTTAGAAGAAATCAAATAGATTTGACACAAGAACTAGAGTTTAAGAAAAGTGCAATTTCCGAAATTAAGCACCATTATTGAGTTGTTGCATAGAAGTTGAGTCTCACGTTATCTTTTTCAACGCAAGGTTAAACGATGCGACTGATAGAATCAAAGCAACGCAGATGCAAAATTTCTGAACATCATTGTCAAGATGCTAACATTCAAAGCTCAACAATTCACATTAAACAAACTTAAACTTCATGATGTTACTCAACGACTACCAAGTGCAATCTGGTTTGAGTGAGCTTAGAAAACACAAAAGGCTCATCTTTTCCAACGAACGACCTTAAGCTACAGATCCAAATTACAGAACGAAGTGAAAACGATCTAAAATCTACTGGAGATAACCAGGGATTTTGATGCGGATGAAGAGCATACTCATGACATAACCGATCACAATGGAGGAGATTCCAGCAGTAGCGTACGATGCTTTGACGCTCTTAGCTCGATTCTTATCCAAAGCGAGATCCAGCATTATGATCCCGATCCCACCGAGCACGAACATGAATCCAGAGGAGAGGCCTTCGATGATGTACTGACCATTGACCCGACCCGACATGAACACGACGGGCCTTATCGCCCCGGTGATTGGATCCTGGGCCGAACCGATACCCGGAGGCTCGACAATCACGTCGTAGACGAAGCCGGAGATGACGAGGAAGTAGGTGAGGAGGATCAGCGAGAACACAGTCATCGGCGACGGGAGCGTGAAGGAAGGGAGCTTGAGACGAAGACGCGGTGGCCGGAGGAAAGAGAAAGGGACGATACGGAGAATGTGGAAGATCGGATCGATCGATGATTCGCCAGACGTCTCTGACATGGCGGAGCCGGTGGCTAGGTTTTGTGAATCGGATCTCGGAGCCATTTCCTCGGATCTTCAGAATTGCTCTTCGCTCTGTTGCTATCCTTAGTGAGAAGAAGAGTTTACGATTCGGCTTATTTGGAAACACGGATAATATTATCCGTTTGAAGGATATTAATCTTCAGGTAGTCGCACGTTCTGCCGTTTCTATAGAAAATAGTTCAAATGAAACGACGCGTAGTTTTTATCCGTCTTCTCCTAAACTTAAAAAGACCTAAAAGCAATCATTTTTTAAGCTTTTGGATCTTAAGCTATTCTCGCGGCAAAATTTACAGAATTTGGAAAGGAAAAATTGGTTTCTGTGGTGGAAGCTAAACGGAGATGAGCAAGAGACCGCCGCCTGATCCGGTGGCTGTGCTTAGAGGTCACCGCCACTCTGTTATGGACGTTTCATTTCATCCATCGAAATCTCTGCTTTTCACTGGGTAAATTAGTCTTCCCTCACTAGTGAGAAATTCAATTCCTGCATTGTCTTATTTTGATAATTTGGTTGCAAATTGAAGTTTTTTTTCTCCAGTTCAGTTGATGGAGAGTTGAGGATTTGGGATACTATTCAGCACCGTGCAGTTTCTTCTGCTTGGTATGTGATTTTTTATTTTTGAAATTTCGTGTTTTAGTTTTCATAATGAAGTAGTGCTTATTGATTCTTCTTGGATTTTCAGGGCTCATAGTAAAGCACATGGGGTTTTAGCTGTAGCAGCTAGTCCGTGGTTAGGAGAGAACAAGATTATCAGGTAAATATAAGCAATTCCCGCAAGTGTTGCTTCATAATCTATCAAGGTTCTGAGATGCTTGACTGTTATGGTTATAGCCAGGGAAGAGATGGAAGTGTCAAGTGTTGGGATATTGAAGATGGTGGTCTATCAAGGTGGATATCATTTGTCCCTTTTTCAAATGTTTATGCATACTTTGCTACCGAACCATAACCGCTGATTCTCGTGACATGCTTCGTAGGGACCCATTACTAGTACTCAATACAAGCTCCTATCATTTTTGCAAGTTCTCTCTTGTTAAGAAGCCTAAGACTTCTCTAAAAGAAGTTGGAAGTCATCCAAAGAATTGCGCTGAGGAAGATGCTGGAGACACGCGTAATGTTCAACGTATAGATGATAGTGAGGGATCTGCGGGGGATTCTGGTTTGCTTCAGGGTATGTTTTACTTGAGTTGTCTAGAATTTTTTTGTTCTGACTTCTGATCATGGTTTTTGGACTGAACTTTAACTATGCAATTTGTCAAAGTTAAAACGTAAGGTCGTTGAGTTCTCCATATATTTAAAGATGGATCCTTTTGTCAAAAATGTTTTATCTTTCTGTTATCTAATACCTAAGGTTTACTAAGAATTTGACAATAACAGATGGAGATCATGATGAAGGTACCACTTATGTAGCAGTAGCAGGGGAGCAACCTGCTGAGGTGATTAGAAACCGACAGAATTGTTTTTCTCCCTAATTTTGGTTATCAGTTTCCTGCTTTCATTTTCTAATTTGGTGTATACGTAAAGGTGGAGATATGGGATCTCAATACCGGAGACAAGATCATACAGCTTCCTCAAGCTAGCTCTGACGAATGGCTCGATGATTCTACCAAAGAAAGAGGTAAGTGTATACTGTTCTTTCTATGAGATTCTTCATTTGTACATTTCTTGTTAAAGGTTGATGTTTTTCTACATTTCAGTAATATAGTGAAAACTAGGATGCCTCTTCATCACTTCACCTTTGAACTTTGCTTAAAATTCTCTCATCATGGTGGTAAATTGGGTCATCTGCAGGAATGTGTATGTCTGTTCAGTTATTCTGCCCTCCTGAATCACAGGGTTTCTTAAATGTCTTAGCTGGGTATGCTCTCAATCGGAATCTGTCTTCCATTAATCAAGAAAGACAAAACTCCAAGTTCTCATTCTTTGTTTTTCTTATGGGTGGTTAATTCCAAACTTGTGTAGTTATGAGGATGGTTCAATGCTGCTTTGGGATTTACGCAATCCTAAGATTCCTCTAACAACCGTGAAGTTTCATTCAGAGCCAGGTCTTGTTCCCATCCTTTGTATTCAAACTTTTCTCATATCTTTTGTTCCGGGTCTTCAAATTTTCCACAATAATTTTTGTCTTCTTTATGCAGTTTTAAGCCTTTGCGTTGCATCATCATGTGATGGAGGTATCTCAGGAGGGGCAGATGACAAAGTCGTGATGTTTAATCTCAACCATTCAACTGTAAGTAAAGATTGCTATGTAATCACTGTAAAGCTATAGGCTGATGCTGACTTTTGCTATATCTTTTTAGGGTTCTTGTACATTGAGGAAAGAGATTATTATGGAAAGGCCAGGCGTATCTGGCACCTCAATCCGATCCGATGGGAAAATTGCAGCCACAGCTGGTTGGGACCACAGGTTAGCATCCACTTCTTCAGTTCTAAAACTCAGTTTGATGATTTGGTTCATGTTTTCCAAGTTCAAGATCGAAATTAGAGATTGTTTTGCTCACATTTTCGTTTCATATTTTGGAAACAGAGTAAGGGTCTACAATTACCGCAAAGGAAATGCTCTAGCGATACTGAAGTACCACCAAGCAACGGTATGTGAATATTTCTCAACTCTGTATTCAATTCCACTCCTTTCATTAAGAGAAGGTTACTTTTCTGAAATGTTTATGCTTTCATGTGTTTGTTGTTTGCAGTGCAACGCCGTGTCCTACTCTCCAGACTGTGAGCTAATGGCTTCTTCGTCTGAGGATGCAACCGTTGCTCTCTGGAAACTCTATCCTCCCCACAAATCTCTCTGATCCGGTTTGGTTTGGTTTATTGACCTGAATTTGTAAATGCGTCAAGTCATAATCAAAAGAACAAATGAATATTACAGATTATTATCTGGTTTGCTTTAGTGTGATTTGTATTTAAACATCTCTTCTTCTACATTTGAGAGGCTCTGAACAAAGAAAACATTTTTCTCTGTTAGTTAAAATAAACTCGCACGTTATGGCGTTTTCAATGAGTAAATAACAATAAAACGACGCGTTGTTTGCATTTAGATAACAGATCCGGCACGATGGTGTAGGTTGAGTTGAATTCACGACAAATGAAATTGCACCAAACTATCCGTCTCCGTCACAATAGACTGACTCATAACTTCTGAAGAGGGCAGGCACACCTAAAGGCTAAAGCAAACAGTTCGATTTCGTTTTTCTCGAGCTTCGAAATTCACGGTGATTCAACCTCATTTCTGGTTTTTCTAGATCGGTCGCGATTGATTCCCATTGATCTGGATCCGGAGCTGTGTAAAATGGCGTACGTCGACCATGCGTTCTCGATTACGGACGAAGACATCATGATTGAGACCTCATACACCGTCAATAATCGACCGCCGGTGAAGGAGATCGCACTCGCGGTGGCTCTTCTCGTGTTCGGAGCTCTAGGAATCGTCTCCGGCTTCTTCATGGCGTACAACCAAGTCGGCGGTGATCGAGGCCACGGTGCGGTTTCTTATCTTTTTATCTGACTGTAGAAAATGGAAATTCGTCAGAATCTGGACTTTTCTATGCTTGTGCTCCTCTGATATCTATAGGTTCATTAATTTCCTTACAAAAACAACTAATTTGAGAGATACATAGAAAGCAATAATGGATTCCAACTAGATTGTTTTAGGTAAAATTTAGATTTGAGGAAACTGTATCGGAATTTTAGGTGATTGAGCTGATATATTGATTACAAGTGCTCTAGTTAGCTATGGTGGTGTGTAATTTGGATTTAGTTTGTCCTTCTGATCTCTAGTTTCTGTAGATAGAGGAGATTTGGATGAATAAATATTAGACATACGGAAGCTTTTCAAGTGCTAAACTTCTGGAAGAAGTAGAACTTTTATATGATGATTCTAAGCTTAACAGTCCATAAATTGCTTAGACCTCATATGCTTACATTGATGCATTTCTACACATTTCCAACTCAATCCTTTTAGAAAGTATGTGCATCATACTGAAAATGGGTTTTGATTTTCCTTTCTCGTTATTGCATCATTGACCTATCTATCATTCATAGTTTCCTATATGTCATTTATGCATCAGCTCAGATAACGATGATTCATTCTCTGTTTGATTTTTTTTTATGGTGAAACCAGGGATCTTCTTCATCGTCCTCGGGTGTCTTCTGTTCATCCCAGGGTTCTACTATACGCGGATCGCGTATTACGCTTACAAAGGATACCAAGGCTTCTCCTTTTCAAACATACCGCCTGTTTAGTTAGTACACCTTTCGAATCTCTCCAACTCAATGTATAGAGATGTTTTATTGGTTCCTCTCTAGTTTAGTTTTACAGGAGTTGAGTTGAGTTGAGTTGAGTCCATGTTTGATATATATATACTTCTTGCTTTCTAGTTCCTCTTGTTAAATAATTGCGAGTCTGTGACATTACATATCTAATATTATATATACACATGGTTCAGAGAAATACTTGTTTCTTAAAGATTTCCGATTGAAACCAAGTAATATGTGGCTACTTGGAGTATTCGCATTTTGATTTCAAGTGTTAAAAACCTGATGTAGCTTGTTTTTTCCCCATCAATTTTATACAATAAAATCACAGGTTGCATAGATTAGTGTATTGGTGTCGGTTCCAATTTCTCCATCCTCAAATGGACAATGATGTTTTTTTTGTGATTGAATCATTGAATAAAAGTTAACAGAAGTTAGTCTTGGTGCCGGTTTTAGACAACGGATGGCGATGATGTTTTCTTAAACGTGACTGATTAAAATTTATATGTTTCACTTTTTTTTGTTTTTTTGGGTCAAATGGATATCTACTTTATCAGTATGTTGTAAACAAACGTGACAAATGCAGAAAATATCTGGATATTTGAGTGGTTTCATGGGCCCAAAGATCTCTACATCCTAATCAGTAAGATAAGATACCTGAAACTGAAAGCGTAGAATCGAAAAACAACGAAAACAGATGAATAGACCTGAAATGCGTAAACCGAATGGGGATTTGCTCATAAAAATCCTGAACTATTTGAAATGAGAATAAATATTCCCAAGTATCACTTGCGCAGTTTTATTCCTCATGTTAACGTTGACTGCTTAAAATTGAGATTAATGAAGTCAACCGTTTAACAGTAGACGGAACATCGTTAACGTATATCGCGATAATAATCGCGTTTTCTCTTTCTAAACACAAAACCCCAAATCCCTAATCGAAGAGAAGACCCAAATTCCGACAACTCCTGGCGGAATCCGACGATTAGAGGCGCAATCCGGCGAGGGAAGACGGATTCTGGCGTGCATAGCCAATTTCCGACATAAGAATGGTGAAAACTTTTACTGGAACAAGAGGAGGACGGAAAAAAATTCCTGTTCGAAGGCAGAATGAGATCCAATCTGAGATGGTTTCAAATGCAACAGAAGATGAAAGGTAAAATCAACTTCTCTGTGATTTTGATTGAAGTTAGTTTAAGAAAATTATAGTGGAGCAATTAGGGATTCGGATTTTGAAACAACAGTTAGAGATTTTCTATTACTGTATAGAGAAATTAGAAATTTGAAGATAAGATTTTGAGTTTGATTCAACTTGTTGCAGGCCACGAGATGCAGAATCAAATGTCCCTGAAGAAACAAACAGAGTTGGCGAAGCAGAAGAAGAAAGAATCACAAATATGACAGAAAATTGTGAAGAAGAGAGGTCCCGTGAAAAAGCAACTGAAGCTGAAAGAGAAGATATTGGGAATGAAGAAGAACCTGTAGAGTCAAGTGATGATTCATCAGTTGATGGAGATGATTGTGAAGTCATTGTTGAAGATAGAGCTGGATACCAAGAAACTGAGCCATCTTTGAGGATGAACGATGATGGTGATTTTTTTGAAGTAGAAGTTTGTGAGGAAGCCCATTTTGTGGAAGCTGGTTGTGAGGATGCAAATGCAAATGCAGATGACGATTCTGATGACATCGGCCATGATATGTGGGATGATGATCACATTCCAGATCCGCCTTCAGATGATGATTGCGAACAGGAAGAGCATGTCCAGCGATTCAACTATGGTCCTGAAGAGCTGTTAGCGTTAGGGAAAACATTCAATAACGCAGAGGAATTCAAACTTGCAGTCCTCAAGTATTCTTTGACGACACAATACGATATTGTGTTTTACAAATCATCGGTGGATAGGCTTGGTGCGAGGTGTACACAACACATTGAAGAAAAGTGTCAATGGAGAGTGTATTGCTCATTTGAGAGAGGCAGAAACAAGTTGCTGGTAAAAGTCTTCAACAACAATCACATCTGTGTGAGATCAGGTTACACAAAGCTTCTGAAAAGTGGAGCAATCGCACTGCTTTGGGAGGAAAGACTTCGGCTTAATTCTAAAATCAAATCGCAAGATATGGTTGACGAGATTAAACGAGAGCACAATATGATTGTTACTTACAGTCAGTGTCGAAGAGCAAAGTATCTTCTCTCAAGGAAAAGAAAGGCGTGTCACGAAGCTCATTTTGCTAGGATATGGGACTATCAAGAAGAGGTACTTGAATCTAATCCTGGATCGACTATGGAGATTGAAACAATTCCTGGACCAGTCCCTGGAGGCAAGCAACGATTCTACCGTCTTTATGTTTGCTTTGAAGCATTGAAATCGGCTTGGAAGCAGTCATGTAGACCCATAATTGGATTAGATGCTGCATTTATGAAATGGGATGTCAAAGGCCAAATGTTAGCTGCAGTTGGTAGAGATGGGGATAATAGAATCTTTCCTATTGCTTGGGCAGTGGTGGATGTGGAGGATAATCCGAATTGGTTGTGGTTTATGCAACTTTTAAAAAGGGATTTGGGACTTGAAGATGGAGCTAACATTACTATCATCTCTGACAAACATAATGTATGTCTATGTTTAACATTTTTTTTTCTGTGTGAAGATGATTTAGTTTTATGAAAACATTTTTCGCTTGGTTTTGATTTTTGTGTCTGTTTTGTTTCTCTTTGTGTGACAGGGAATTTTAGCTGCTGTTCATGAGGAGCTTCCAAAAGCAGAACATAGAATGTGTGCAAGACACATTCTTGAAAATTGGAAGAAGACTAACAAAGACATTGAGCTTGAGCGTAAGTTTTGGAAGATAGCACGAAGTTATACAATAGAAGCCTTTCAGAGTAACTTAGAAGCATTGAAGGAATACAACCAAGGTGCATATGATTCATTGCAATGCACACAACCAACAACATGGTCTCGGCCTTTCTTCAAACTCGGGTCTTATTGCAATGATAACCTCAACAACCTGTCAGAGTCTTTTAACAGAAGCGTTAGAGAGGCAAGAAGAAAACCTTTGCTTGATTTTTTAACAGATGTGAGGAGGCAATGCATGGTGAGAAACGCAAAGAGAAATCTTATAACTCATAGATGGAAGAAAAGGTTTACACCAAGAGCAGACAAAGAGATTGAGCTAAATAGGCAGAAAGCTAAAGACTGCAAGCGGTACATGAGCACATGAAGTTTACATGAGGTGGACTTTAATGGTACTGGTTACCGTGTGGATATGGAGAAGAAAACTTGTGGATGTGGCTATTGGCAAATGAATGGCATACCTTGTATGCATGCTATGTGTGTAATCACGACAACAAGGTTAGATCTCAATGATTATGTCTCTGATTTTTACTTGACTTCAAAGTGGAGGCAATTGTATTTTCGAGGTATGAGACCTGTCCAAGGAATGAAACTGTGGAGACGGTTAGGTAGGTTGCCTGTTTTACCACCACCACCAAGGAACAAAAAGGGAAAACCTCATGACCATGCTAGAAAAAAAGCTCCTCATGAGTCGTCCTCTAATCCTTACAAGTTAACACGGCATGGTCGTGTAGGAACTTGCTCAAACTGCAAAAAAGAAGGACATAATAAGACAAGGTGTCCGGATCCAAGTGTACCTCCTCCACCAAAACGGCCAAGAGGTCGTCCAAAAAAAAACCAGGTTTGAGACCGTTGATTTCAGATTTTATGCTTGATTGGTGGTTTGGATCTGTTGCTGCTTATGCTTAATTCATTGCTTTTGTTTGTGTTACACACAGGGAGAGTCATCTCAAGGTGGAGCTTCTCAAGGTGGAGATTCTCAAGCTGGATCATCACAAGTAGGAGCTTCTCAATCATCACAAGGAAGATTCGGTTTCTCTTCTTAATCGTGAAAAACTTGTGTTCTTGTTTTGTTGAATCATATCAAGCTTGAGCATTTACAACATGAAGTACGTTTTATGTTTTTTTTGTTTAGACTTGGTTTCTATTTTTTTGATTCTTTTTGTTTTAGACAAAACAGTATGTCTCAAAACCGTTTACACCACCATCTCTTACAAGTCTCCAAAGCTTTAACATCATCTCTTACATAATCTCTTACATCTATCTAATAAACTGATCATAGTACATAATCTATAATCACATTAGTTACCAAATACAAGAGTGCTTCATTCACCATGGTTAAACACAATGTGATACATTATCACAAATGCCAACAAACACAAACAAAAAACAAGCACAATGTTCTTGATCTTGAGTTTGTTTAGTTCCTTTTTGCATTCGATGACCTCTTCAACCATATTTTCCATCTCACTTGTCATATTCTTCACTTCAATCTTCTCAACCATAACCTTCAGCTCATTCACTTCTTCATACATCGCATCTTCACCCACCTGAATAAGTGACCTTTCTAAAATCAAGAAACAAGAGCTTAGTACCATTACAAATACGTTCCAACTACAGAAAACGAAGAAATTACTAGCTAACCTTACGAGAAGCACCACAGCGAAAGTATGGACGTCCAGGATTATCTATTGACTCTGATACATACTTCCTAACATGACTTCCACAAACACATTTTTTGGGAAATCCTTGTTCTCCATAGAAGAACCCATACCCAGATGAGTTCCCAAATTCGTCTCTACAATTGGAACTTATCTCCTCCTACACGTAATCAGATCCAGTTCCATCATTCTATCATTTCATCAATCGATTTTTATTTACAGAGATACACACACTTACATTTTTAGTGGCAGACAAGATTGGTTCTGTTTCTGGGCAACGATTTTTGTTCTTCGTGATGTTCTTCATGGCTTCTCACTGAACTTCGCCGGATCTCGTTTGCAATTGCCCAAAATCGTTTTTTCCCCCAAAATCGCAATGTTTAGGGATTGGAGGATTTGGGAATTAGGTCTAAATTAGGGATTTCGTTTTTCCGCTCTTTAACAGTTTGATTTTTGAGTTTAGAAAGAGAAAACGCGATTATTATCGCGATATACGTTAACGATTTCCATCTACTGTTAAACAGTTGACTTCATTAATCTCAATTTTAAGCAGTCAACGTTAACATGAGGAATAAAACTGCGCAAGTGATACTTGGGGAATATTTATTCTCATTTCAAATAGTTCAGGATTTTTATGAGCAAATCCCCTAAACCGAATGGCCGGTTTTAAAACATTTCCGGTTTAATATAATCCTATTAATCTGAATTCAGCAGTCATCACTTTCTCTCTCTCCCGTGTCTCCACAAAATCCTCAGCCGCATCTCACTTCTCTCTTTCCACCTCTCCACCAATGGCCTCCTCGTGCCTCTCGAATGCCTCTGTATCTTCCTTCAACCCTAAACAAGACCCCATCCGCCGCCACCGCTCGCCTGCTCTCCTCCGCCACCGTCCCTTCGTCGTCTCCTGCACCTCTTCCGCGAAAGCCGCCGATGGAACCGCCAGCAACAACAGCACTCCGATCGAGACCGCCGTCAAGCCACGCCGCACCGAGGATAACATTCGTGACGAGGCTCGTCGCCACCGCTCCACCGCCGTGAATCCGTTTTCAGCTAGGTACGTTCCGTTCAATGCGGCGCCTGGATCCAACGAGTACTACTCTCTCGACGAGATCGTGTACCGTAGCCGCTCCGGCGGTTTGCTCGATGTGGAGCACGATATGGAGGCTCTGAAGCGATTCGATGGAGCTTACTGGAGAGATCTCTTCGATTCGCGAGTCGGCAAAAGCATTTGGCCGTATGGATCGGGCGTATGGTCGAAGAAAGAGTGGGTTCTTCCCGAGATCGACGACGACGACATCGTTTCGGCCTTCGAAGGAAACTCCAATCTCTTCTGGGCGGAGAGGTTTGGTAAACAGTTTCTCGGAATGAACGATCTGTGGGTGATCTCTTCGATTCGCGAGTCGGCAAAAGCATTTGGCCGTATGGATCGGGCGTATGGTCGAAGAAAGAGTGGGTTCTTCCCGAGATCGACGACGACGACATCGTTTCGGCCTTCGAAGGAAACTCCAATCTCTTCTGGGCGGAGAGGTTTGGTAAACAGTTTCTCGGAATGAACGATCTGTGGGTGAAACACTGCGGGATTAGCCACACCGGAAGTTTCAAGGATCTCGGAATGACCGTTTTGGTCAGCCAGGTTAACCGCCTGAGGAAGATGAAACGACCTGTGGTCGGCGTCGGGTGCGCTTCCACCGGAGACACCTCCGCTGCTCTCTCCGCTTACTGCGCCTCCGCCGGAATCCCATCGATCGTCTTCCTACCTGCGAACAAGATCTCAATGGCGCAGCTGGTCCAGCCGATTGCCAACGGTGCGTTTGTTCTGAGCATTGACACTGATTTCGATGGTTGCATGAAGCTGATTAGAGAGATAACATCGGAATTGCCGATTTACTTGGCCAATTCGTTGAATAGCTTGAGGTTAGAAGGGCAGAAAACTGCAGCCATAGAGATCCTGCAGCAGTTTGATTGGCAGGTTCCGGATTGGGTGATTGTTCCTGGAGGCAATCTCGGGAACATCTACGCCTTTTACAAAGGATTCAAGATGTGCCAAGAGCTGGGACTCGTGGATAGGATCCCGAGGCTGGTCTGTGCGCAAGCGGCCAATGCTAATCCTCTTTACTTGCACTACAAGTCTGGCTGGAAGGACTTCAAGCCAATGACTGCGAGCACCACATTCGCCTCTGCGATTCAGATCGGTGACCCAGTCTCCATCGATAGAGCTGTGTACGCGCTCAAGAAGTGCAACGGCATTGTGGAAGAAGCTTCGGAGGAGGAGCTGATGGACGCGATGGCGCAAGCGGATTCGACGGGAATGTTTATCTGTCCACATACAGGTGTTGCGCTGACCGCTCTGTTCAAGCTGAGGAACCAAGGAGTGATTGCGCCGACTGATCGTACCGTGGTTGTGAGTACTGCTCATGGGTTGAAGTTTACTCAGTCTAAGATTGATTATCACTCGAAAGCCATCCCTGACATGGCTTGCAGATTCTCCAATCCTCCTGTGGAAGTGAAGGCGGATTTCGGAGCTGTCATGGATGTGCTCAAGAGTTACTTAGGAAGTAAGTCACTGAGGTCATAAAGGACTTGACCATTTTCTTTAGCTGTACTTTTTTGTTTTTGTTCGGAAACTTTTAGACGTTTGTTTTGTGTACTCTTTCTGTGATCTTGATCTGTTTCTCAGTTTTTCAATAAGTTCTAACGCAGAGTTTGAACCATTTTCTCTTCTCTTTTAAATGTGAGCGAACTATATAAAAAGTCAAAATCTTGTGCGAACAAAAACATGTTGCAGATTAAATTGTTACAAGCTAGTGTTTACATAAATCCTCGGAAACTAAGATGCGTCTTGGAGAATGCTTAAACGCAAAATAAGTTTTTTCTCATGAGTAATCGTATAGCGAGACACTCTTGTCATCAGAGACACTAGCGAGACGACCAGCCCGGACACCAGTTCCACCAGGTGGTCTAAACGCCACAGACCAAACCTGGTCATTGTGGTTGCTCATTGTCTGAATCGCAGCTCTCATCTTTAGATCCCATAGCCTCACAGTTCTATCGCTCGACCCGGTGGCTATAGCTCCACCGTCTGGGCTAGCATCAACGCTCAGCACCCAGCTCGTGTGCCCTGACATGGACCCAACCAGCGTTTTCCCTTCTGCGTCGTGCATGTTCACGTGCCCATCATCTGATCCAGAGAAGAGGACTCTCGGGTCTACAGGGGAGAACACAAGGGACCTTACAGGCATGTTGTGACCTTCTAGCTGGTGAAGCAGCTTTGAGCGGTCAACGTCGAAGATACAGATCGTGCCATCCATTGAACCACAGGCAAGACGTTTTCCGTTTGGAGACCAAGCTACCGAGAGGACGAACTTCTTGCTGCTGGTTTTATCAGAAGGTTTTGGCGCTTCTGGACGTGGGATTGATAGAGTTGAGATTAATCTCCAGCTTGCAGTGTCCCAAAGCTTGACCGAGGCACTACTTCCACCTGCAACAGCAAGGATTGTACCCTTGGAGCATGTAAATGAATATGTTAGCACTTAGACGCAGAGCATTATTCTGAAGAGTGATGTTGAAAAAATCATGTAAAACAAGCTTCGATCTTTTTTTCAAGTAATCATCTATTAGTAATGTATTGAAGTACGTCAGTGAATACAAAGTCAGGGCTGATTCAAAAAACGACGACAAGCAACACCCTACCAAATCAAAGATGTTTCACCAAGGTTAACTGTTACCATGCTACTAAGGTCGTAAGCCAATTTGTAAATCAGAAGTGATCTATAATACAATTGATGAAAACAATCAAGCTCCTATCTGATTTTGAGCTACAGATTCAAGCAATGCTCAACAATTCCAATTAGTTTCTAAGCATTCATCTATAGATCAGGAGAAGAATTATTCGCAGCTAAAGAAGTGAAATTCCCTGAAGCAATCAAATTCGTCCACCAAAAATTAACACAAATCCTTAAAAACACTCAAAAGAGTATTGAATTTTAGAGATTCAGAGTAGGTCAATTACCTTTGGTTCAAATTGCATCCCCCAAACCTCAGAAGGAGGAGCTTCCAGAACAGCGATGGTAGCATTAGTGTCAACATCGAAGACGCGGACGAAGCTATCGAGCGAAGAAGACGCTGCAATTATCCCGGAAGGATGCGCCGCCACAGCTGCTACTCCCAAGGAGTGTCCGGTATTAGTCCGCACTAGATCCAGCTCATCCGCTCGCCACAACTTCACCGTCTCGTCTAGAGATCCAGTCAGAAGCAACGCAGGTCGATCATCCGTCGCCGGAACCCAAGTCGCCGCCCAAACGGAATCTTCATGTGCGTTCTCGATCGATTTCAGACCTGCGAGTTTCATCTCTTTTCCCTTTTAGGTTTTTACTGTGTGTTCAAGTGAACAAGATGAAGCAAAAAGACGCCAATTTGAAAGAGTGACTCTGATTTAATTGGAAAAGATAGCAACGTGCGTCGTTTTTAGCAGTTGGAAACAATAGATTGTTTAAACATCCTGCCGTTTTCTTGTTCACTTCTTTAGGCCCATTAATATCATGAGGCCCAACATCGATCTGACTTTCTTCTTTCTCACTCTCCCGCCGGCGTCAGCTATGAGCAGCGTTTAGTGGAGAAGAACTCTCTGGAGCCGCCACGTATCAGTGATCCTACTACGACAACTTCGCTTTCGCTTCTTCACTCTTCTTCCTTCTTCTTCTTCTCTGTCTACGTGATCACTCTTTTATTCAATTTCTAATCGATAGAGATCGATTTTAGCTCTCTGTCTTTGGACTTTCCCGGGAAAAAAATGGGTGAAGAAGCTCGAGTTTTGGATATAGAGAGTAGAGAAGAGAACAGGACGAGACGAGATCATCTAATTGATGAATCGGTAGTCGATTTATACCCGCTGAGCAGCTACTACTTCGGTTCGCGAGACGCCCTTCGCGTCAAGGACGAGATTATCTCTGATCGAGTCATCAGATTGAAATCAAAGTAAATTTCCAGTTTTCTTCGTTTTTCATTCTGTTTTCTTTACCGTTTTATTAATTTGTTGCTAAATTTGAACTTACTGAAGTTACGCTGCTCATGGATTGAGGACTTGCGTTGAAGCTGTTCTTCTGGTAATTTTACTGGTTGATAGCAAAAATTAGGGATTTTGAATTATTTTTTTAAAATTTGTTTAAAACATCTAATGTTGGAGAATAAATCAGGTTGAGTTGTTCAAGCATCCTCATGTTTTGCTTCTTCAATTTAGAAACTCCATCTTCAAGCTTCCCGGTGGTCGTTTAAGACCTGGAGAATCAGGTTTGCTTTACCTCTTTGTGCATAATCTCTCTGTCTAAATTCTCAATGCTAATATCAGGTGTTTCTACTTAAAATTTTAGATATTGAAGGTCTAAAACGCAAACTAGCATCAAAGGTTTCGATTAACGAAAATGTCTGTGTTCCAGGTTTTGAGGTAGGAACTATCAACTATGGATTCTTGTCCTTAGTGTTTTCTGGCTTAAGAATGGTCTCTCTAATTAGAAAGAAGGTTGGTGTAGGTAGGAGAATGCATTGGGATTTGGTGGAGACCCAACTTTGAGACATTGATGTTTCCTTTCTTGCCTCCAAATGTGAAACACCCAAAGGTTAAGTTAGTTCCACTTCCATTGTAATAATTAGTTGATGACTTTTGAATATTCTTGCTCATATACATATGCTTAAAGCTCTGTTGTATCTTCTTCATCTTTTGTACAGGAATGCACAAAGCTCTTTCTTGTTAGATTACCTCTGAATCAACAGTTTGTCGTGCCTAAAAACTTTAAACTCCTCGCTGTTCCTTTGTGCCAAATCCATGAAAATGAAAAGGTATTAGTATCTTACTCGCATTTCTTTTACTTCATTGTGTTATGCATAATGCATCAGATTCATCGATATGATGTTTTGGTTCATGCTTTGTAGACTTATGGACCAATCATATCGCAAATCCCCAAGCTTCTCTCGAAATTCTCCTTCAACATGATGGAGATATGAAACCAGAACTTCACAATCATTGCCTCTACTAGCTTCTTGCCTTGCGATGAGGCATTTGTGATAATATATGTGTAGACTGTGTAGTAATGTTAACTGATAGATAAATTATTTTATTCGAAACCATGTATTTTCCTCTGTCTGATTATGTTGGAAGTGTAATTGAATTTATACGTGTAAACCAAAATACGTATGCTTTATTTGTATTTTTCTTATATGTAAATGTTGGCAGAAAGTAAAGGTTATAAGATTATGGTATATGATCAGAACTAGGGGTGGGCATTCGGATTATCGGGTCGGGTTCGGATCGGGTATTTCGGGTTTCGGGTATTTCGGTCCTAAGAGAAAAGGATCCGTTCGGATAATTATAAAATTCGGGTCGGGTTCGGTTCGGTTCTCTTCGGATTCGGGTATTACCGGATATACTTTTCGGATCTAAAAATACTTTCGGTTTGGAGTAAGTTCCTTTGTTTTAAACAAAAATTGACCTGATAACCTGTTACTTCAAATGAAATCCGAACAAATAAAAAAACAACCATTCAACTTGATTCAACCTAAGAACAAAATACAAATCATTCTCGTCCAAACACTAAAAACCAGCAACACAAAAGTCATTACCAAAGTGATATCATTCCATAACACAACCAAATGAAAATAAAGAAAGAAATTCAAAGCAATCAAATGAAAAGAAAGAAGAGTGGTGAGTCTCAAAGTCCAAAACGCGTTGTTTCTCCGTGTCCATGTCTCATTGACATCTTTGATTGCCTGTTACAACAGAAACAAATCAAGTCAAAAACACGGCACAATATAGAAACCCAATAACTTAAGTTGTTATTAATCATGTTACCTTTGAACTTTGAGGACCATATCCACTTCTAGTTCTAGTTGGGTCTAGGATACACTGAAAAAGATATATAAAATCAGAATGTTAGGATATAAACATCAATCATGAAATGGAAAACCGTAAAATGAACTTACTTTTCTGGAGTTCATCCTGCAATGTAACATCAGCAAGCATCTCCGTGTTTGAAACAAATGTTTTCTCGCCTAACTTAATCTCAGCCTTCATCCACTGCTCAGTACACATCAAGACCTCAACCATGTAATGAGTTAAACAACTTCGATACGGATCAATGATTCGGCCACTAGTGCTAAAAGCACTTTCAGATGCAACAGAGGACACTTGCATAGCAAGAACATCTCGAGCCATTTCTGATAAAATTGGGAACTTCCCTGCATTTACCTTCCACCAAGATAAGACATCGTACTCTGTTCCAAGCAAAGTATTAGGATTTTCAACTTTGTCACTCAGATAAATATCCAACTCAGACCGTTCATCTTCAACGCCTAAACCACTGATCATATCCTTATAAACTTGATCCATCCTTTCATACCCCTGTTCATCATTCACAAAATCCATGTTCTCAGAGCATGAACCATGGCCACCGGAAGTTGATGCTTGATCCGTCTGTGATGGTGTGACAATGGCCTCCTTCTTAGACCGAGTGCTATACTCAGCAAACAGAGATTTCATAACTTCAGTGACTGAAGTATACATCCATTTAGCTTGTGCAGTATCTTTGCCGTAAAGTCTTTCAAAGCATATCTTAGCAAACTGCATTTTCTTGCTCGGATCAAGGACACTAGCAACAATCAGAAGCCTATTGATGTTCTTCACTCCATCCCAATATTTGTCAAACTTTCCTCTCATGTCGTCAGCCTTTTCACTCAACTCTCTGTCTAAACTATTGCTCAAGTTCATCAGATTCTTCTCTATAGTAACTATCTCAGTATAGCACTTGTAGGAGCTAACCGAATTAGACGCTGAGACGATCAACGTAGAATTGTAGAAGATGATCAGAAACCTTACTAACCTCTCCACTGCATTCCAATCAACTTCAGTAGGCGGACCAATCCTTTTTTGACCATTCTCTTGTTCGAGAAAGTAATCATTGTATAGCCGATCTTCAGCTTCCATTTTATCAAATGCCTTCCTGAACTTAATAGCTTGTAGCAGCATCAAGTATGTTGAGTTCCACCTAGTTTTTATATCCAAAGGCAAACTCCCTCTAGTCACCTTGGCATTATCAGCACGGCTATCAAAAGTGTCGATCCTATTAGTAGACGCCCTCACATACGTCACGGCATTCCTAATGGCACACACATTATCAACTAACTCTAGCAATCCTTCCTTGACAATTAAGTTGATAATATGTGCACAACACCTCATATGCATAAACTCTCCATCTAAAACCAATGCCTCATCGCTCACTAAGCTGAATTGGGTCTGAAACCTCTTTAGGGCAGATGTATTGGCGGTGGCGTTGTCCACCGTGATGGTGAATATCTTCTGTATTCCCCATTCAGCCAAACACTCCATAAGGACTCTTGTTATAGTGGTCCCTTTATGATCCGTGATGTACTTGAACCCGATGATTAGCTTCCTCATTTCCCAATTTGCATCAATGAAATGTGCTGTAATCACCATATAGCTAGCACCTGTTGCTTGAGCCACCCATATGTCAGTAGTAAGTGACACTCGCTGCTTGTTAGCTGCAATCCAAACTTTAAGACCCGCTCTCCTCTCCTCATACATCTTCACAATGTTTCTGGTAGCAGTTCTTCTTGAATGCGGTGTGTAGAGATTAACTCGACTACAGAAGTGTCTCCAAGCCATGCTTTCAATGAAGGCAAGTGGCAATTCTCCTAACACTAGCAACTCATCAGTCGCCACTTTGAAGATATCCTCTGAAACCTTTGCTTCCACCAATCGTCCATCCTTAGTAACAGCTCTCGTATCTGCAGACTTACTTGCTTCAAATGCCAACAACTTCTTGCAGGTTAACATATGCTTCCCCAAGTTAGAAGTCCCTTTGGATGATGCACAACCGTAAACTCTTTTACAATGACGACAAATGCATTTGTCCTTGTCCTCCTCAAGTGGATCAAAATGTTTCCACACTTTAGACCTTTTACCCGCTGTTTTCTTTTCATTGGGTTGACCAGAAGTATCTCCATTTGTCTCCTTCCTTTTCCCTTGATTAGGTGTGGACTGTGTGGTAAAGGTTTCTGCTGTATCTTGAGTTTCACCATCGGGAAATGATGAAGAATCCATCTACAATAAAACAAAATCAGTTAGCATAAATAATAATTCAGATAGATAATACTCAATATCGAACTGATAAATAACAGAAACATGAAGACAATTAGAAAAAAAAACTAAGAAACATAAGCTAATAACCAGAAAAACAAACACAGTTACAGAGAGATAAGACACAATAACGCTAAAAAAAAAAAAACTTAAGAACAAGACAAGACAAAAACAGAAACAAACCGATCAAGAAATAAACATTGTTCAAAAATGTTGATTATTTTAATAACTAGTTACTTGTTCGTGTCTTAAGAACTAAGAACCAAAACCTTAAACTAAGAAGTATTAAATTCACATATTCACTCGAACAAGACAAGACATCAACGTCACATATTAACTCAAACAGATACATCACTTTGAATCTCATCTCATAATTAAGCAAGAAAATAAATCACAAGGGTTAACAAGATTAGTAAGTACAGAGACAGAACGAGAAGAAGATCTAAACTAACTAAGCATAAGAAGACTTGGAATTAAACTAAAAATTATAAGCTAAGCTGAGAAATAAATCCAATAACATCGAGTATCGACAATGCAAACTGAATTGAATCAAAGAAACAAAAGCTAAGTAACTGAACATAAAAACCAGAAACATGACAATACATTTTTCAAAAACAAATTATGAACTCAGGATTCGGAAAGCAAATCAAAGCAGACTTAATCAAAAGAATTAAGAGAAAAGAATTTGAGATCACCTTTGAATGATTTCTTGACGTCTCTGATGGAGGAGACGGATGAGAAAATCGAATGAGGGTTTCCAGATTTTCAGTTTGGGATTTGATATTGAAGATCATGTAAACGAAAATAGCGGGGAATGGAGATAGTGGAATCGAATCGACTAATGCAGGTAAGGGTCAGTTTAGATTGTGCGGATATTTCGGGTACGTTTACGGGTCTCGGGTATTATCGGGTATTACCCGGTACCCGAATGGAGAGAAGAAAAGGATCCAAATGGGTATTTTTCAAAATCGGATCGGATCCGGATCGGATATTTTCGGGTAAATATCGGGTCGGATTTTCGGATCCGGATAAAATGCCCACCCCTAATCAGAACTTTCTAAGAAATGTTGTATATACTAGGTAAATACCCGCGCTTCGCTGCGGGAGAATATAATTTAATTGTTTCTTATGTTTGAATTAATTTAATTAAAGATATTACTTAACTTTTCCTATTAAACTAAAATGGTTTACTATTAGGCCTAGGCCCAAAGAAGATTGTTATAGACATGTTGTTTAATTGTGTTCGGTGGTCGTTCCGACACTCTAAAATTATCGATCTCTATAAGAGAGGATTACATTTGTTTTCTTAATTTTATTGTCCGAAATGAAACTGGGAAAACAAAATTTAATTATAATATCATTTATTTTTATTTTATACATTGGAAAAAAACCAGAAGCAGTTATTTATTTGAATATAGAATTATCTAAAATTAGATTATGTAAAAAATCTAAATGTAAAACAATTGAGTGTAGTTAGAACATTAAAAAGTCTTACTTGAGTAATAAATAACAAAAGATGCAGGCCTTTAACAACAACAACAAAAAAAAAGATAAGAGATGCAACTTGGATTATCGATTCTAAATTGTCACATACTCAGATGAAGAGATTTTTCAAAAAAAAAGTTTAACTTAGACTAAATTCTTTTATAAGAAACAATCTTGTTTATGTTTATACTTGCAATGCTTGTGTAGAATAGTGTATCCCAGATTTCACCTTTCAAACTGGATTACATATAATTGAGCTATCATAAGCAATCTAGATTACTCAAATTTAAAAGAGGAGAGAGAGAGATAGAGAGAGTGAGAGAGAAGCACCTTTTATTGAAGAAGCTTCCTCCAATGCAAAGAACGA